ACTTAATAATGCATTTTTGTCACATAGAAAAGCACTTGAAAGTAAAGCACTGATTTTGAGCTAGACTGCTGGAAAGTTACTGCTAATAAAGTCTGTCATCATTTCCTCACCCTCAAGTCGTTCCAAACGACTTTCTTCTGGTGAACACAAAAGAAGATTTTGTAGAATGTTGCAAAACCATTTTGGTTACTCTTGATTTCTACTGTATGGACAAAAATTCCTTGAATTTCGCAAATTATGTTTCACAGAAGAAAGGAATTCATACAGGTTTGGAATGACAGGATGTTGAGTAAATTATGACAATTTTCATTTCTGGGTGAATCTCCCTTTAAGAACTTTATTATTTGTAAATAATAAACACCTAATTTATATAAGACACTGATATTTATCTTTAATCAGGCCCTTATTGAATTAACATTTTACTTCAATTAAAATTCATTAGAACTTAACATCTAAAAAGAAAGAAGTTCTTGCTTAGAATCCAGAGTTTAGCTGTATTAGTAGGATGGTGGTCACAGGAAGTAAAACCATGGTCCTCCTCATTACCATGGTTAGGCATATATGTTTTTTTAAATAAATAATAAGTAATAATAAACTATAAAATTTGTAGTTAAAAAAAAACTAAACATGAAGAAACTAAACACCTTCTATAAAATCTAAATATTCCCCAATATGTAATAACAGTAACATTTATAATAAATACATTTCTGCCAACACATAGGCTATTTGTATGTGTTAATAACTTCAAGTTAAATTACTATGGTGCTGAACTGACAAGTCTATATTGGGGTTTTCCAATATACCTCATTGTCGTGGATGTTTTCAGCCGGCATCACTACAGAACCTTTAATGTTCTCATATCACACGACTGTATAACAATTCTGTGTCACAACTGAATGGATCTAGCGACTTATAAATCGTGGTAGAAGCGCGGCGCACGTTCGTCAGCGCTGTTCGGGTGACTGATCCCGCTCTACTTTGATGCGCTGCTGGTGTATGCATTATGGGATTAGATCTCTGCCACAATTCTGCGCGCGAAAGATCATATTTTGAGCACGCAAAAGTGAGTTTTGTGGAGAAAATGTTTGTCTCGCAAAGAAGAAAGTATTTCGAGCGTACGAAAATACATTTTGCATTTAAAATAAGTTTTTGGATTTGTGCAGACCTCTTTTGCGCATGCAACGTTTCACTAGTTGCTCACCTGATGCCCGCCCTCAGTGCTCTCTAAAGGCCAACAGCTCGCTTGCTCAACACAACCCAGCCTTACAATATGCCATAATTCCAGCCAATCAGAGACGAGGCAGTAAAATTCTGATTGGCTGCCTTGACAACCAGTCACAACATTCCTTGCATTACCTTGACAGCAGAAGAGGAAAAATACAGTGCATGCATAATTATTATGCAAGTTGATATTCTGATCATATTTTTTTCTAAGCACATTTGACCAACTCCAAACAACATCAATCTTAATAACTAATACAGTAAGCTACAGGTAAATCTGACACATCTCACATCAACATGCTTTTATCATCTTTTTAAGTTTAATTCATGTGCTGGCTAGATTTACTTATTGTAGTCATTATGTCAACAAGGTGTAGCCTAATTAAATCATGGCCACGAATTAAGGACGTCGTTGTTGGAGCCATTTATTGTAAAGTTTTACTTGGCCACTGGGTGGCACTGTGACAGTATAATTGTAACACTGGTGTAAGAGCCAGGTGTGTGTGTTGGTAATTGGGAAGCACACCGTTTTTGACCGCACGGCAGAGTAGCGTGCAAGATGAACTATGATCTTATGCTGTGTCTTCAAGGTATGGACTTGGATTGTACATGTTAATGAACAAGGAACACTCATAGCAAGTTGTTTTGGAACAATTGTTATTGGAGCACAAATAAAGAAAGACATTTGTTTAGCATCTATTTCCGTTTGCACGGACTCTGTTTGTACGCGTTCTAGAACTTGCTCACTCATATTATCAACGGCAGCTGCTTACTGGAAAGCCGATACAGTCGTAATAATCAATAAAACTAGCAATCAGGAATTCATTATTATTTCTTAGCAGTTCTCACGTTGGCTATGTAAACTGCATCGTTTTAACATTATAAAATAAAACTTAATTGAAAATCGGTAAAGTTACTCACTCTGATTGCTGTCCATGTTGTCCATCTTTAGTGATCCAATTCGGTAGGTGGCACTGTTACAAAAAAAAAAAACAAGGGTCCTATAAATGGGGTCCTGAAACTGCAGCCTCCGGTTGTGCAGGAACATACTATTGGAGCGTGTGACTAAGAGGAACACTTGGGCTCAGTTTTTATATCCTAATCAAACCAGGATGTTTCTGTCTCATCCAGTCATAATGCATACTCAACATATGTCCTCTTTTAAGGGTTGATATCACTGATCTATATATATATATATATATATATAGATCGTGCATTCCAAACGGCTACATAGTGGCACGCACGTGCCCTGCTCACTCCAAAGTCTCCACACCAAGGGCTCTGCCCTTCGAAGGGAGTAGGGCATAGGGATGATCACTTCCATTTGGAATTTACCCCTTGAACGGTTGGTTACGAAAACACGTCCTCTAGAGGTCGCTTTGGGGAACGCCTTCAGCGTGACCGGTGTCTGAAGCATACATCTAAACCAGAGATTGTCTTAATATAGGGAGATGAGAGGGTCTGTGTTACTTACTATTGGAGAAAGCATAACAGCTAACTTGGATCACATATGCCTTAACAACATGTACAAACATTACTACAAACTAAAACACCAGAGTCCTAGAAATGCGGTCCTGAAACTGCAGATTCCGCTATATCATCCAATTCGGTAGGTGGCGCTGTTACAAAAGAATAGGGTCCTAGAAATGCGGTCCTAGAACTGTGGTCCTGAAACCACAGTTCTCCGGTTGTGTCTCCGGTTGTGCAGTAACACCCTTCTCTGCAGATGCTTTGTATGACTGTCTGACCTTCTTGCAAGAATAAACTTCCTTTACAACTTTCTGAGTTCCTCATCTCTCACCATATGATATATAACATTCCCAAAATTAAATAACAGTGATTTGAGATGAATGTATTTATTTATTTATTTATTTATGTGTTTTTGACTGTTGGTTCTTGTCATGTGACCCTGTTGTTTGCTATAAGTAGCCCTCATGTTGCCCTTGTCTCTTCTCTAGCTTTGTATTGTGTAACCTGCAGTTGGTGAGTTGTTTTCATGTCTTTGCCCTGCCCTGCTATGCCATGCCAAGTCTTGTTCATGTTTTTGCCAAGCCAAGCCTTGTTCCTTGTGTTTTTGCTCACTTTTGATTGTAATAAACTGCACTTGGGTTCATCTACTATTCGCCTCCAGTAGACTCTGTTATATTTGTAAGGCCTCATGCTTGTCATTCTTTAAATAGTGGTTCTGTTTAGCCCCCTACAGTCACCTATGTAACAACTTAGTTACATTACATTACATTACATTTAGACATTTAGCAGACGTTTTTATCCAAAGTGACTTACAAATGAGGACAATGGAAGCAATCAAAATCAACAAAAGAGCAATGATATGCAAGTACTATAACAAGTCTCAGTTAGCTTAATGCAGTACACGTAGTTAAAGCTCAAACAAAATCAGAGGTTATGGATAGCACTATGAAATATGCTAATACTTCCATAGTGTTTTATCTAGCCCCCTATAGTTAGTTTAGCTATATAACAACTTGAATAAAGCTTAGACAATAATCAGAGGTTATGGTTAGCACTATGAAATATGCTAATACTTCAATAGTGTTTTTACCTAGCCCCCTATAGTTATTCTAACCACATAACAACTTGAATAAAGCTGAGATACTATGCCAATTACATAGCCAATTCAAAGATATCAAATAAATACAATACATCAAGTTCTCAAAGATGAATCTAAGAGTAAGATGCATACCTGACTTTTAGAAAAATACATAGTATGAAGTGTGTGGACACACTTCATACTATGGGCTCATTCTGGCTGCAGAATCGCCCCGACCCTTTTGCTGCAATCCTTTAAATACAAAACCATATAATACATCCCCCAAATGGAGGCATGTACAAACAATTGGAATTTGCATTCCAATTTGCAGGTCCCAGACCTGGGTGGTTTACACCTCAATGGGAACAGAAGGTAATTTGCATGGAATGACACACGCCCTACAGTAATCAAAATATCTCTTAACTCTTAGGATCTGTATTATCTTTTAATCTACTTTTGTAAGATTGAGACCATTGTACCACTCACCCTGAGACTCAAATTTATACCAAAGATTCAAATGATACCAAACATGATTGTACATATTATTTGCATTCATGTATGTTTGTATTGTCTGTTTCTCAGGAGATCAAAGTATCTGAGGTTCTTTCATCCTTACATATTGACCCTCTAAATGTTATGAGGATGGGGATATTGTTAAGTGTATTAAGTTTATTTTTCAGTTGATGAAATATCTTTCCAAGATATTTCCAAGCAAGTTCTTTTCAACAGACAAAAACTCCATAAAACATTAAAGTTGTGAAAATTACATGATCCTGGATACAGTGCATGCCATTGTAAAGACTAACGCTTGTGTTTCCTGATTAAAATGCTTGCCAACAGTTGTCAATGTCAACAGTTTGTGTAGCATGCACACACACATCCTGTAAGATGGCATATGTACCACATCCTGTGTGAAAAATAGGAAGTGCATTGACGCATTTTAGATCTCAAGGTACAACTGACACCCAAGATTTTTGAGACACACATATGTAACCGGGTAAAAAGAAAAAGAGAAACTAAGTGTGAATGGTGTCAAAATGCTTGTTATGGGTATAAAATGTTTGTTCTAGTTATAAAATAATCGTATGTTTATTGTTAATGTGTATAATGCATCTTGGAAAAAGGGGAGACACCTGTGGCAGTGATGCAACACTATGGATGCCAACTGCCGTAAAACTCCAACGAAGAAGAAGAAGGGGAGACACCTACAGGCAAGGAGAGTGTGTAATGTGTGTTGTCGGACATCTTCTCAGTTCTCTCGAGCTGTTGAGAAAGATGGTAGGTGAAAATGTCTCTGGTCAATTGGTCAAAACAATGTTGGGATATTTGTTTTATTTTTGTATAAAGTTAATTGTATTTGTCTAGAAATGTGTTTAAGATCATTTTATTCTGTATTATAGTGTTAAAAAGGGTAAAGTGGTGTGTAGCAGAGTTTTATGTGCCTTACAGGGGGTTGCGTACACCACGTGCTAATGGCGTCTGCTCTGTTTTTTCTTTCATTTTGTATATTCGTTTGATTTATCTATATGTGTACTATTTTTTTTTGACAGTTTTGTGACCAGGTGAGCAGTATTGTATTGTCTGTTTAGTGCTTCCCATGTCTTTTCCAGGTATGATGTATAATTTTTTTTTCATGCAATTGCGTTCTCTGTGTATAAAAGAAAAAAGAGATTGAATCATACACATATGTAACAAAAAGTATTTATTGATTAAGTATTCAGTTCTCTCGAGCTGCTGAGAAGGTTGTTTTGTGATCGGGTGAGCAGTATTTATGGTTTGTTTGGTGCTTTCCATGTCTCTTCCAGATTTTCCCCAGCTCACAGTAAACGCTAACGTGAGTGTGCTCAACAAAACTGCTTTCGCATGGTCTTTATTGAGAGAATAGAACGCACGAACCGAGAGGGGTTACACATACACAGATGAATGATAGGGTAAGTTTATATTTAATTTTATATTCTGGTCCACGGAATTCCCAGTTTATATACTGGCATTGAGTGGTGTATTTACAATGCCAGGTCGTCATTGACTTACCTGGTTAAATAAAGGTTAATCATTTAGTTTGCTTGTCCATCTCCTGCAAGGAGTTGAGTGATAGAAAATAAGAAGTAGCTTGTGATCTAGATGGAGAATCCACCCAGAGGGGTAACGCAGCACACATGATTTCTGCTGATAATGTTCCAGAGCTGAGAGTTTTGGTGAAGTAACCCCAAAAATGTGAACATATACAGATAACATGCAAACAAGCTTCACTTAAAGGAACTGTTTATTCAAAAATGAATGAATTGGTGAAAAATTTGTTCACTCTAAGGCCATCCAAGGTGTAGAGGAGTTTGTTTCTGTCAGAATGATAGTCCAAACAGCTGATAAAAACATTACAATAATCCACTTGCCAATAATCCACAAGCTGCATGACTGCAATAAACAAATCTATCATTAAGTTTTTAATTTCAAGCAGCTGCTTCAGACTAAAATACAAGTCCTCTATCTGTAGTGTCGCTTTCTCCAATGGTTCTCCAACGGTTTGAAGTTAAAATGCCATAATGATGAATTTGTTCCCTATCTGTCGGACACTACGAGTTATGTCGTGAAGACATATGGGGATTCACTTGGGAGCCCCAATCATCTCTGACTTTAAGAGAAAACGCCAATGGAATTTGGCTAGTGGATCTTGCATACCTGAGCCACTCCCCGTGCATACAGGTATAAATAGGCGACAGGTGCCTCCACTCTTCAGATTTTTTGCTTCGGAGCCAAGTGGATGAATGTGTTGATCTCCACAAAGCCTTTCATCTTCTGTCTGGAAGCTGTTCTGGTTGGGCACTTCAAATGAAAGAGCAGATTTCCTAAAATACCACATCATGGAAGGCTTGCGTCCTTTTAAAGATGCCGTTCCATCCGTGTCCTCTTGGTTGTGGTCATTACCTGTCTTCTGAGGACGGACACCAGGGCTGTTTCTAGGCATAGGCGAGCTAGGCAGTCGCCTAGGGCGCCACCCTGTCCAAAGGGTGTGCGTTTTTTGCGCCAATACATTGTTAAAGGATCAGCGTGTCAATGTCATGTAATATTCCCATATAAACTTTAACATCCAATTAAAAAATATTTGTATATTAAAATTCGCTAATTCACGAGAATAGGGATTTCGCCTAGGGCGTCAAATTGGCTAGAAACGGCCCTGACGGACACGATCATTGTCTTCTGTGTCTAGGCATCCATCACGCTGAAGCTGTGTTCGTGGATGACTCATGTGCCTGTTGTGGGCGTATGAGCATGGCCTTGCTACTGTAAGGGGGGTTTCCCTACAGTGGTTCAGGCTGATTGCCGAATGACTAAAGAAACACTGTCAGCACGATGGTATAAAACGGTACATTTCTAGTGTACAGTTCTAGTGTACCACCCACTGCCACTTATACCAACGACGGAAATAAGCGCAGTTAGAATAGCTAAATATGTGGGAAAGCGTTGATATTAAGTGACTTTATTGTATTATAATAGGTAGCACTTCAAAGTTAATGTTGAATCAAGACTAGTTAGCTCATAATTTATAATTGAAATGGTTTAATAACAGTATTTTGTTATACACTTGAATTAAGTTACAAAATAGTAGGGGTGACCCCGAATAGATGCTTCGATGCTTCAATAGGAGGATCCTGATTCGACTACCAATTTCACAGTCGAATATTCGAGGGGTGTTATGATCATGCCATTTTGGCTATATGGGGGTGCTCAAATGTCTGATTTCACATAGAACTACTGGTTTTCCCTTCACCTGTGTTGTTATGATGGTTATCATCAGTATATGTATAAGGTACAAAACAAATTTTAGTAGCAGCTTGAAGCAGAAAAGGACTGTTGGATTTACCTTTTCTTTGTTTAGTTTTGTAAATTACAAATTTAAACTGTAAAATATACAGGTTGTTCTGTAAATGTGTTTACATTTGTTTACAGTTTATTTTTAGAGTTTTTTTTTCTTTAGTGTAGGTCTCCCAAACGGTAAGTTGAAAAAAGAATCCCTGCAGGATAACTGGATAAAATTGTATAAATATGAAATATAAATGATGTTCCATTTCTGATATAAAAAGCAGCATGTTAACAGTGGGATACATAAAGCTGGTTTAAAAATATATAGACTATGTGCTTAATCTGATTTTGAATTACATTTTTTCACCTCCAGGGCTCATCCATTCCACAATGGCCAGCCAAGGTATAAAATTTCTCAAATAAAAAATAGATCATTTTGTGTTTGCTTAAGAGTCAGTGTCTAAGAAAATATAATGAATGGAATGAATTCTCTGACAGGCACTAAAAGAAAGCGTTACCATAAATCGTCTGAGTCAAATACAGAGCCTCCACTGACAACAGGCAAGTAAAATCAGATTCTCTCTACCTTTAATCTGCCACTATTAGAGTAAATAATCACTTGGTAGCTTAAAGGTGGGGTAAGCGATTTCTGGTAGCCAATGTTGACATTTGAAAATATAATGAATGGAATGAATTCTCTGACAGGCACTAAAAGAAAGCGTTACCATAAATCGTCTGACTCAAATACAGAGCCTCCACTGACAACAGGCAAGTAAAATCAGATTCTCTCTACCTTCAATCTGCCACTATTAGAGTAAATAATCACTTGGTAGCTTAAAGGTGGGGTAAGCGATTTCTGGTAGCCAATGTTGACATTTGAAATCACCAAAACAAACACGCCCCTACCCCAAAAGTGTCTCGCCCCTATTTTGATAGCTCCACCCACACATACGTAGGCAACCCAGGCAACGGATTAGTTCTGTGAAACAAAGCAAAACTGCTGATGCGTTCCATTCATGACGTATTGACACAAATTTCAAATGATTTTCATCGGCTCGGCTAATGTCCGTCCCGTGTACTGAACACGCTCTCCTCCACATCCTGAGTAGTTACGCCCCTTACTGCTGATTGGCTACAAGTTTGCTTTGCTATTCGTCCCGAACCGGTTTTCTAAAGTGTTTTTGAAAAATCGCTTACCCCACCTTTAAGTGTACCTGAGAGAAGCATTAGTTATTATAACATACCGGCCTGATATGAAGGTAAAAGAGTAGCATAACTCGAGAGCTTGTTGATTTGAATTTGAGAACGTATTAATATCATATTTATATTCGTATTTGTACGTTGAAATTTACACCCACAGCTCTGATGTGAAAAGCTGAATATTTTGATTTTCACACAGACAATAATCAAAACACCCGTGTTTTGAATTTGAAGTTGCAGATTACTAGTTACAAATGTGTAAAATGATATTCACACAAACAAAATGACAGACACAAATGTATACGACATATTTATGTTTGCACTTTACTTCCGTTTCGTTGTACAACCACAAGTAAGCACTTACAACCTCTCAGATCTGGCAATACAACTTCAGATCTTAGCGCTTTACTTTATACATTACTGAGCTGGATGATGACATCACTGAATCAATAATGAACTGACTTTAATTGAAAATTGAGTGTTTACTATTGTCCTCTTGCGTTATCGGCACACTATTTTCCTGTTTAATTCTGTAAAGCTGCTTTGGCACAATCTATATTGTAAACTGACTTGACATTGTCACTGCACACAGCACTTTCTGTTTTGTTGCTGCTATGCACACTCTAAAAAATGCTGGGTTACTTTTTTTTTAACCCAAATGCTGGGTTCAGCCTGCTGGGTCATTTTATTGGGTTGTTATTATTTCCCCCCCCAGGTGCTGGGTAGTTTTTCTGCACTAAAAAAAAAAATGCTCGGTTATTTTTCTTTTTTTTTTAACACAAATGCTGGGTTCAGTTTGTTGGGTCATTTTACTGGGTTATTTGTAATATTTTTTTACCCAGGTGCTGGGTAGTTTTTGTAACTAAGCTGCTGAGTCATTTTTAATGGGTTATTAAATATTGGGTTATTTTTTTTTACCTAACCGCTGGGTTGAGCCTGTTTCTGATGAATCAACCCAGCTGCTGAGTTACAGTCAGGTCGCGCGCTGGCTTTTTGTGTCCTCTACGGGAGAGAGCAGTTCTCAGTGCCGCCATGCATTTCTTCAGCGAAATAAAGGTTTGTATACATTTTATTTCATTTATAAAGTCTTTACTGTGCTGTAAATTATATTATTTTATGCAACGCAACATACAGGGACAAAATGTCAGTCAGCTAAATAGAGAAGGCTAAATGTGTCAGCAGCGGTCGTTTCGCATGATGGAAACACCATTTTCCTTGCTTAACAAATTGATTTTATTCGTTATAATAGAGAATATAATTAAATTTGGTGTTAAAATATGTTCTCTAATCTCAGTACTGTTTGTTTATTGGCAGGTTATGTAGTCAGTCATGGCATCTTTCCGCTACGAGTGAAGTGCGTGGTCTGACGTTCGCGGTTTCCCCGGTGAACAGCAGCCCATCACTGGCTCAGATATTGCGGACACACCGGAATGAGAATTAGCACTATTTTGGGGAAAATGATTACAGAAAATGGTTGAATACACTTAAATTAAAATGCAATTTTTAAAAGTTGAATTTTTTATTTCTAAAAGGCTTGTTATCGAGTTTAAATGTATGTTGTAATATACTGTATTCACCCAAATTAATTAAATTTGTTATATTTTTGTCCATGGGTGTTTTTGCTTAATAATAAACGTTCATCTTTTGATTATTGCTGTTGCCTCTATAATTCTGTGTGTGATTTTTTTAAATTTCCAGCTCATTTTAATAAATATGAGGCCAAAGGCCAAATTCCCTTAATCTTTCAGGCATAAAAAGTACCCCATGCCCACAGTTAATTATACTGCTGGATCTTTAATGTTGTGGGGCTATTTTTTCTGCCAGAGATCCTGGACATCTTGTTTAGATACATGGCATCATGGTTTCTATCAAATACCAAGAGATAAAAAAATCTAAACCTGACTGCCTCTGTTAGAAATCTTATAATGGGTTA